TCCGCCGTGCGATCAGTCTCAAAATTTTTTGCGGGCTGTGCCGCATAAATTAATCTGATTATGCAAAATTCCGTCTCTCGTTCGTCCCGAAACGTCCGTGTATCGGAATAATCCCTGGTTATTCGTTTATTTTTTCTTTCTTTTTTTTATATAAGCCTTACCCTCGTGTATATATAAATAAAGTGGCGAAGAAATTGCCTCTCTAAAGTCTCCCGAGCGATAGCTTCCACACCCTTTATCACCGATTGCGAAGCGCAACGTAATGAAAAAAAGGACATCTACGTGATTCGCACGCCCAACCGTTTTCCTCTTACTTCGCGTTAGCTCGGACAGCTTCGAAGAATTTGCGGACGCGAGTCGCATCGGGAAACGTAGCGTTACATCGAAGAAGTGCCTCGGTCGGTCTCCACGGGAGCGTTCATAAACATCCGAATATTCTCGTCCGATTTGCGAGCGCATAACAGATTCCTGCGGGATCGCTGTCGATGAACGCATCGACGGGAGCTCCGGCAGTCCCGGCCTTTCATCAGGAAACAGAGACCGACGTGCATGCTGCCTGTCGAGCGGCAACCGGTGCATTCCGCGAGGAATGCCTTTCATCCCTCGCGCGGATCCAATATCTCAAAAGAGGAGGCAGCACTGACATCCACGATTCGGTCCTCACCTCTCCTCTAGACCGCCATCCGGAATGAGACGTAGGGTCGAACGGATGTTGCCTCGCCGTTGACCCTATTTACGCTCGGTCAAGCCGTCCCTTTTGCTTACAGAACTATATGACACGGAAGACTAGATAGAATACGCACGGAAGCAGTCTTGTTGTCTAGATTAAATTTGGAGTCCTTTTGTTCTTGTCGCCGGCGACACGCCGTTCCAAAAGAAAAAAGAGCGGATGCGTGATGTGGAAATAAAATGTCTCAAACTTTTACAAATAAATATATCTGACATTTTTTTCACACAGATAAGAATTAATTGAGATAACGTTAAAATAATGATTTTACTTATAGCAGTGATATAAGTTGGATTAGATTTAGTTTTTACGAGGCGAAGCTCTGTAATGATAATTGCTTCTGATCTATGAAATATGTTACTTGTAACTTATTTTAATTTTTTTATAGAAACTTTTCTGAGATTTTTCTGCTATTTATTCATGATAAGTTTTTGAAAATATTTTAGTTGTTATTTTAACATTATTTCAACTAATTCTTAATTTCGCCGAAAAATATTTTAGATAACAATACCCTATAATGATAATTGTTTTTAATTTATGAAATACGTTATTTCAACTTATCTCAATTTTTTCATATAGATTTTTCTGGTATTTTTCTGTTATTCATTCTTGAGAAGCTTAAATATCTTATTATTTTAACGTCATCTTAATTATGCCAAAAAAAGTTTCTAGATATGTCTTCTTTCAGAAATATTTGGGACCATTTTTCCGAATTCCGTGAGAATCGGAGGGTGAATCTTACCAGCACTACATCCACTCGATTTATAAGTTCCTAAGATTAGCAAGACGTTCGATTTCTTGAAGACATTGACAACAGTTCAATGGAAATGTGCAGAATTTTTCACGACGAGACGAGTTTACTCTTTTCGCTCGACTTCTTTCTACCCAAGATCTTTCGATCAGTGCTCCCCTCGTTTGAGATTCTCTACGGAATTACCAAAGTTACGGTACAAATATACGCGACATGCCCTCTGACCGAACGTTCGCGCTATCGTTCACCCCGCGACCGCTCGGCGTCAGTTATCGGTGGTGTCTCGTTTTTGTCTCTTCCTCCCGCTGCGTCACATTTGTCTGCAGATTGAATCTGAGGAATCTGGCGCTGTCGGAACAAGACGATTCGATTTAAATTCCAACACCGGATTGCTCGCCCTCTCGCTCGCTCGCCTCCTAACTTCCGCGACCCCTCGTGTGGAAAACATAACGTAAGCTTCGTGTATTCGTGGGGCAGGGTGGCGGCGTAAAACTGCTCCGAATTTCCGTCCTGAATCCAAATCTACCGTCCTACATGGAAACGGCGTACCCATCGTATGCACGATACGGGTTCTGATTTCCAACGCTCGCTACTGCGCGCCGCTGTTACACGACGTGAGAGGTATTTATTGCGAAACCACTTCATCTCGCCCCCTTATTTCGAACGAAATAGCGAAGAATTGTCCCCCGAGAAAGAGAAGTATTAGGATGGCAAAATGTCGCCGTCGTATAATTCTAGAAGCGATTTCTTTTCCACGATATCGCTAAAATCGCGATATTTGTCCTTCGCAAAATTGCGGAATGAAATTCACGTTTCTCCCAGAACGAACGGCTCGTGTATTTTACACTCTGAATAAATATCCACATAGATTAGTTGCAACGTCCTTATGAGACAAAATCTTTTCATTGTGATTTTGAAACACATATTTCTTTAGAAGAGAAATGTATATATGTATGTATGCTGATTCACTCCCCTACACACGTACTCGCTTTTCGCATTTATCAAAGAATTCATACATATTTTTTTCGCCCTCTTACACATCCGGACGAATAAATTTTACCGTGGATTTCAACTGTGCTTTATAGCGAGATTAAAAAGGGAAACGGGAGACGTTTGCATAAAACGTGCGATCCAGCGGGCACGTTTAAGGGATTGCGATGACGCAATTCTTCCACGACCTTATGCCAGTATTTGCGGAACACATTTATGGCATACCGCTCCGATCGGCGGGTTTGCGACGCGCGGCAGCGAAAATTCACCTCACCCTAGATCTCACGGTGCCGCGAGAGACGTCGAACGAGATCTCATAAATATTCTATAAGCCACGTGACACAGAACGGATGGCTTTCGAACTACAAGGAAGAGCAATTTTTGCAAAATCTCGTCGGGCACTAACGCGGTTGCGCCCGTCTCGTTTCCTTCTGTATCGCCGTCTCATAAACGCCGTGCTTTACTCCGCCGAAAGTTGTTCCGCGTTCCTAGTTTCTTGAAGGTTCGACGGGCTCTTTCTCGGATAAAGAGGGCGATCCCGTGGGAAATAAGGTTCAGTAATGCAGCGCTGCCACTCACGTACAACCAACCACCCGCGAGCGAGTGGAACTTTATGAATTGCAGCGCATTCCAAGTTCCACCTGGCGAAATAGCGTACGTTTCGTCACTTCCATATCACTTCCGCGGGTACCAATTGAAACGTACGAAAAGGTCTGTGATTATCACCATATGTTACACACACACATACACATGCAATGATGGTGCAGTGGAAATTTCTCCGAGTGAAAAGGCAAATTTAAAGAATTTCTCTCTTGAAGTGAATCAGCGAAAATGTTTCTGATTAAATCAGTAAAAGAAGCATTTCACCGATAATCAGTGAATACTTTGCAAATCCAAATATTTTAGCTAAATCTTTTTTTTATTTTACTGCTTTATTCATGTCTCATTAATTTTGGTCAGTGGAGGTAAATTTTCACTGCAAAATCTGTACATTACAAATTCGTTATACACTTTGCCGAATTTTCAACGATCATATATCATACATCGCCGAATTCACTTCGACGAAAGCTGCTAACGTGCCTAACGAATAGTTCTAGCGAGAAATATGATGAAGTTTAGAGATTTGTCATTTGGTAACACGAAGCAATTGTTCATCTGAACAAGTCATGAAGTTAAAGTAAACACTGTTAACCCCCGATGTATGTGTTCTAAGCTTATACGCACCTTGTAAGCTTATACGTATACTTGAAACTTGAGTTTACTCCGGAAAACACACTCGTATGTCTTCCAGTTAGGAAGTACAGATTATAATTTTGAAGTTCACGGTCTCTCCAGGCATTTTCTTAAATTCGAATCAGATGCTATAGTCTGAGAACAAGTCACAGATCTCGAAGCTTTCGTGCGATATGACGGGAATCGCAATTGGTCTTCATATCACATGAGAGTTCCGATCTTCGAATTCAATCTCAGGTTTCTACCAGAGATCGCAACGTGTCGTCGAATTCGAATTCGAATTTTACGGACTGTCGAATCAGTTGATATATCGCACGTCGAGAAAGATAAAAGATATATTAAAGGTGGAGTTCAGAAAAGAAAAATAGAAGTAGGAGAATAGTTCCATTAGTCTAGAATTATTTTGTTACGTGTACAGACAGAATTGAATATTTAACGAATAAAAGAAAAATTAATTAATTGCAAAATTTAGAATGTCCAGTATTGTGAAATCTCTGGAAATATATTCTTAGATATTATGCATAAAAAATAATTAGGAAAAGTTAATTGTTCACATTTTTATTGTCTAATGTTTCCAAAGATTTTTGATGCTTCAAGAGTCCACAAGAAGTTGTACGGAAACCATGTTCGCGTAATAGGTCTTGAAATGGGATAGATCCTTCGTAATGTGGCGACGCCGCCAGTGTTTCATTTGTAGGCGAAAATGTACGGGTAAAGCATAATAAACAGAACCCTCGAAAGTCGTGGTATGCACGAAGGCGTTAAGGCGAGCGAGATGCGCATAGTAATTTAGACGAACTACAGGCTAAGTTAGCCAATAGGGATTGAGGGTTGAGGAATACGTATTTTGAAAGGGATCAGGACGAACGTATCCCAGAATGTTTTGGCATATGACGACTCTTGGGTGCAACTATGTCTTCTTGAATTTCTATTTCTCCTATCTTCTATCCTTTTGGTGAATTGGTCTTAGGAAACCAACGCGATACATTTTGAAAAGCGACTACATTTAGTAGAACTGCGATACACATACATTTAGACCTTTCTACCACGTTATTGCCCTCCTTTTTGGATCTTTCCACTACACATTCATTTTGTAGATGTTTCGCGTCAATAGGTCTGCTACCATATCTACCCCATAAAATCTCAGTGAAACGTAGCTTGCCGTCTTAAGCTTCCAACGAAGTTCTTTAATCTTGTTAGAGCTTTCCAACGGTCCAACGGACCCGCGATACACGAAAGGAATTTGCCGATCTGCCCTTCTGGCGATTAACGCAAGTTCACTCTGTTTTTACTTCGCAGATTCGGAATACGAGGAAGAGCAAACACCGAGATACAGACCGGACTCTTTGGCGAGCCTTTGTCGAGCCACCAGATTCACGGAGGCCGAGCTGAAGAGGATATATCGCGGCTTCAAGGCTGAATGTCCTACGGGAGTCGTCAGGGAGGAAACTTTCAAGTGCATCTATTCCAAGTTCTTCCCCCAAGGAGGTGAGCTCAGATCTTTAGATACAGCAATATTTCTGTCGTGATAAATGATTCCTTATTAAGCAGTTAAAGAAGTGGGACACCGTTCGCTAGAAAGAAAAAAGATATACGAAGCATACGAAGTTGGCGAATTGTTAAATATATCTTCCTGGGGTTTCCGCTTAAATGCATTATGTAGATGGAAATTTTATTAATAATTGTGTTTATTATCAACTTTTCTCTCTTTTTCTCTCTCTCTCTCTCTCTCTCTCTCATATTTCAAAGAGAACGGTTATTAAAAGCGATACGTTCCATCATTTAAATCGGCGATGCGAAAGGCTCACTGTATTTTCTACGTCCTTTATAATACGTATGTCAGATAGATTTCTCTTTCCTGTGTGGCAGGAGACACGAATACGCAGAATTGCAAAATGATGAACGTCCGAATAGAATGGTTTCACGCGCGCGCGCGGGGCTTTATTATGCCCGAACATACATAACTAGATCTGGAATTAATAGATACTTTGAACTAGTCGTGTCTCTTTCTACATATGCATTCATCATGACTGTCGAGTATCCGAGGAATCGGGAACGATATCCGAAAGCCGATAGCTTGACAGTTTGAGATTTAGTTCACGTAAGATAACGTTTTGATCCTTCATGAATAGTAATCAGCAGGAAAATGATACAAAATAGTGGAAATATATTTAAAGTACTTGGATGTTGATATATGAACAATGGATAAATCTTTCGAGGTAAAAGGGAGAAGAGAAAGAGAATCGGAAGAATAAGTATCCTGCGTGATTATGCACTGAGAGAACGATTTGTTGAATCAAATAAACGTTTCCTTGGAATAGTCTAAATAAATTATTTGGTTGACACAACATAAATATTGCTTTGGAATTAAACCGCAAATAAATATTTTTGTGGCGTCAAATAAAATTTTGTTCGATCAATCAAAAAATTCGTTTGGACTATTCCAAAAAAGTGTTTATTTGATTCAACCATCGTTCTCTCTGTATGCATAACATATGAGCGGACGGAGAACATTAACTTACGCAAACTAATTAAAACTATCCAACTATCATAGCTGCCTTCGAACATCGTGCCCGATTCCTCGGATACTCGACAGTGTGATGAATGTATATGTAGAAAAGGACGCGCTTAGTCATCAAAACATCTAGTTCTGAGAATTCTGTTTCGATCTGGGGAATGGTAAGACAATTATGAATTCCCGTGCACAGTTTAAACAGAAAGTGTGCGCAGCTCAGGTTGATTTAAATTGAAGAAAATTAAATGGGCCGAAGAAGATCTTACTTCCGGTCGTGAAGAGGCTGCTGGTCTTTCTCGCTAACGCATTTTTACCGGCCAGCATATCTGCTGAATATCTGCTGAATATTCCAAAGAGTATTTCATGGTGGAATTCATAATTAACAGAAATAGCGGCCCCGCTTTGGCCTGCGCTTCATTTTTGCCAAACACGCGTTCTCCGATAACGATTTTTCCTGACGCGCGACGCGGAAGAATTCCGCAGATACCGAAGAACTGTTTATTTTGCGAAAAAATAGTCCAATGTGCCGTCCGCTTTATTTATTCGCCGTGCGTTTATTCGCATTTAGATTTTCTCGTGTTGCAACGGCAACATCGAGGATGCGTCGAAGAGCATCGACATGGGGAGGGAAAGAGAACAATCCAACTGGGATAACTACGGCTCTTCGCTGAGCGCGGTTGCAGTAGTCATGGTAACCAACTCCGAGATCAAAATGGCACTACGTTTCAAATGTTCCCTTTTATCCGTTCGTATGAGAGAGCAGGAGAGGTATGAGAGAGGTTATCTATGACTACGCCTCTCTCTCTCTCTCTCTCTCTCTCTCTCTCTCTCTCTCTCTCTCTCTCTGTGCATCAATGCGAAGCAATTTTCGGTAGCTGCGTTCCTCGTATAAACGCGTTTTAACTGGCGCCGATTAACTTTGTTACAGCGGCATTGAGTGCCCGGCCGTTTAACTGAATGCCACTCGAGTGAAATACTTAGTGCAAATTTTCTCACGACTCGAATGCCGTTCGTTACATCTCCTTTAATCGAAACGATTCTATCGCAATTTCGTCACGCGAGTCATCGTGTTCTCTTCCTTTCGATATGAATTGAAACAGAGACTCCAGAAGGGATGAGCACTTGGAGTCGTAACATTTATTTATTTTTGTAGCAAAAGCCTTCCCTGAGTACGATCCATGACATAAACTGACTCTCGCGTTCGCATTGTTATGAAGAAAATGACGGAACCCGCGATAAAGATTTACCCGTGTTCTCGTGTCACTGAATCTCTGCGGCGTGGTCCAATATCCGCGTTAATAAAACGCCATGATATAAAAAAAAAAAAATATGAGCGACGGGCTTTTCGAAGCATTCAACGGCCGCGGTATCGTGAGGCGTTTAAAGCTTCCCGTCGTCGACAAACTCCTCTACTCCGGAGGTTTCATAGCCGAGGGCGCGGGACCGCGTCGATATCATGATTTGTTTGTCGCTCGGCGTAAAAGGCGGGTCGAATGCGAATTTACGAGCGATCGAGCCGAAATCCTTGGGAAAAAATCTCCCGTGCGCCGAATAGACGACGGCCCCGGGCGGGCATCCGTCCATCTTCGTCGACTACTATTTTACGATTTTACAGCTCGCCCTATACGCTTCGCCTTGTTTTTTCAAAGAAGCCTCTAGTACCGCCGTTCGTCCGGGGAGATAAATACGGCATTATCCGGCCAAAGCTTCTCCCGGAGAATATACGAAATATTGAAAACGCGCTGTACGAGGATTTAAAACTTGTCCATGGCGCGGAAGGTTCACTTGGTAGAGAGAAACACAGACTGTGCGCAGACGAACGGACTTTCTATGAAGGAAGGAAATATCTTCGTGTTAAAAATCGTGGCACATGAGATGAGTTAAGATGAAACTACGACGTGTATCGACGGATATACGTTTATTCTGATTTTTTCTTTTTTTTTGTATAGTTCGCGAGTCGAAATTTTAGCTTTATTCTCTCTCTCTCTCTCTCTCTCTCTCTCTCTCTCTCTCTCTCTCTCTCTCTCT